CTACAACCTGGTATCAGTGAGGTGACAAAAGAAGCGCAAGATAAATACAGAAAACCACAACACTAAGCTACAACCTGGTATCAGTGAGGTGACAAAAGAAGCGCAAGACAAATACAGAAAACCACGACACTGGGCTACAACCTGGTATCAGTGAGGTGACAAAAGAAGCGCAAGATAAATACAGAAAACCACAACACTGAGCTACAACCTGGTATCAGTGAGATAAGGACAAAAGAAGAGCATGTTGGTACAGAGCAGTGGGCACATGACTGCTGATGTTGTCAACTAGAACTCTTTCAGTAGCAGATATTTTCCACAGCAGACAGGCCAAAGATGAAATAACCACTTTAACAAATAACTGCTCTACGACTTTCTAAGAAAATAAACACACAGTACAAGTAACCCTTTAGAAAGCCAGATTTTTTAGTATGCTGTGACCAAATACAGTGCAGACCACTAAAGGCCATCTTGGATGTGGTAAATCTTTTTTCCTAAAGAACAATTTGTTTATCCCCAGCAATGTTTCTTGTTTGAACTCTTACCTGGATAAGAAGAATTTATGATAAGAAAAACCATTTCTTGGGTCCCCTGTGAGCTCTCCTTATCCACATAACAATTTGAAGAAATTATTATACGATCAGTAGGATTCATCAGGAAAAAACAATTATACATTTCTTGGGTTTGAAAGAGTTCAGCCACTGTTGTTTTCTTTTTAGGACATTTCCATGTACCCACTTTAGGCTGAGCCAGTCTGAGAGCAGGCAGTCAGTTGTTTCAAAACAAAGATTCTGCCTTGATGTGATTTGACATTTTTTTCCTATTTCAGTGCCAGTTTAGCGATTCTCTGTCCAGTCTCCAATTGATGTTCGCAAAAATATCTTCATCTTCTTTGTCTTATGCTCGCCGCAGATTGGAAGGTCGTGGGTTCTCTCCCTAGCAGAGCCAGACTTTTTTTTTTTTCAAAAATGACCTAGGCTCCCAGGTCGACCCAGCCTTGAGTGGGTATCGGGTGCAGTCCCAGGAAGTAAAGGCGGCCAGCGTGATGCTGACCACATCACCTATCTTGTGCCGATGGGTCTATAAAATATGGGTGTAGCCCTATATGCCGGATACACCTAAAGGCGTGGAAAAGGGTCCTTTACTTCTTTGTCTTGAGGTTAGAAAATCTGGCCAGTGTGGCTGGAGCGTTGTTTTATTTAGCCATGACATGCCCGAGTGGACATTGTTGGCCATGTCATGGGACGTTTCCACAGAGCACAAGTTGAAGAACATGGGCACAGTTGATAGTAATAAGAAAGTCAGTCTGCTTTTAGACAGAAATGTCTTGTTACTATTAATTTTTTTCAAACTAAAATTATTATAATAATAGTAATTATACATATACATAATAACATTAATAATAAATATATATTTGTACATTTCATACTGTGTTTATTTTCTCTGATACTTTTCTATTCCCACCATCTTCATGTGCCATGCTAGTAAGTAAGGGGCAGTTAGACTCACCATCTCGCGCTTCTCTGATCAAGTCTGGATTCTTGTTTTTAATATTTTCATAGTGGCAAGTCACTCGCCTGTCAGCTCAAAGGTCATGGGTTAGAATCTCCAATGAACCTGATTTTTCTTTTTTTTTTCCTCAATAATTGGCCTTTGCTCTAAGCCTAAAAATCAGTCTGAGGTAAGTCATGGGAAGTAAAGGCGGCTGGCGTGATATTTGAGTCTAGTATCATATGCCTGATGCACCATTGGCATTATAAGGGCCCTTTACTTGTTATGAGCCATCAGGTATTCGGCTCTGTCTATACTTGGCTTCTTTGCCAGCTCTGTATCAAGAATTCTGCCAAACCATTTAAATCTGTTTTATTCTGCACAAGCCCAGTTAATGAATGAGTTGCGTTAAGACTTGACATCACAGCACTCAAGGCATTCGAATGTGTGCTCCGTCCTCATCTTCAGCAGCCAGTGCAGAGTGCCAATACTGATGGTACTGGTCACAATCTGGTTATATGTGCATCTTGCTTTTTCCTCTGAGTAGTGAGCAGGCCAGACCCTCTGGTTATACCCAGGTGCCTCATTCTCTCCAGGCAATAATAATCTTGTTTCTCTACTGATTCCGTTGCTTGTTTCCAAAAGGACTCCTTGACCACGTCTGCCTTTTCATGTATCAGTTCACCATCCAGTGGTGCAGATCCAGCCAATCTGTCTGCCTTTTCATTACCCACTATGCCGGCTTGGCCTGAAGAAAATATCTAAAGTGTGCTCACTACCCGTGACCTTCCCAGTGAAGCATCCCTGTCTTCACCTTTCCCAGCATGCTTTCAGAGTCTGTTACAATTACGACATGTGTATGCATCTTGTTATCTAGCCACCGGAGAGCTGCTAATGAATGAATGTTTGTAGTTTGTTAGTAGCTTTCTGAATAATCATTCTCTATGTTCCTGCTCTGTACAACAAACCTAATTTGATACAGACCTAATTATTCCAAGCACCAGGGTATATTTCTGTTGGCTTCCAAACTTTTTCTTGTGCTCTGCAAGTTCTTTACGCCCTTTGGCAGCCAAGAGGCTGATAATTTTATTAACTTCATTGGGCCAACGAGCCAGTGCCCTTATATACCAACTGACACCATTACTATCACATCCAAACATAAGTATGAGTGCCGAAAAACAGATTAAAAACAGTATCTTCATACCAACACTGTGCTACCAGTTCCAGACTTGGACATTATGAAAGGCTAAACTACGTAAAATTAACAACTGTTTAATGAGATGCCTGAGAAAAGCCGTCAACATAACCAGCTGAGACAAAGTTAGAAAGGGTATTTTCAGACAGACTAGAAACAACACCATGCAGTAAATCCATTGAGAAAATAAAAGAGAAAATGGTTTGGTCATCTAGCAAGAATGCAGCCAGAACACCTACCAACACAGACGCTACACATGGACAGATTTTATTTGAAAGCAAGTGGTCGCCCTCGAAGAAGATGGACTGATGACATTAATGAGCTTCTACATCGACATGAAATGACAACAGCCACTGCTGCCTATCAAGCAATGGATCGCAAACTGTTCCTCCCAACAACACTTAACAGCAGAAGTGGAAACTGATGAGGGTGACGTTGACCGGGGTTCAGTTACTACTGCGGACAGGTTTTAAAAAAAATTATAACGGCCTCATGGGTTCCCCCTCTGATTATGTATATGGTTTTTGGATAACGGCTGTTTCATTCCGTGGAAGAGATTGTGTCAGATTTGCTCACTAGTTTTCAAACTGGACTGTAAAGGGCACAAACTTTTAACTGACCCAATACAACATTTAATTAAAATGGCAAGGAATCAACTAAAAGTGATTCAATAAGCAAGTTATTTAGAATGACTCATTTAACCATTTCATTAGATAAAACACAATCAGTTTAATGAATCAATAAAGCAGCTTTCTACAGTGACTCAAATCATTTACAAAGAGGCTCAAATAATCAGTTTAATAATGCAATAAAGGGGGCTGAATGGTCTCGAGGCATGGTGTCCGCCTCCAGTGCTAAAGGTTCCAGGTTCAATCCCCAGTAAAGAGCTAGGATTTTTTCACGTGGACTTGGACTTCTAGGAATTCCCCCTAGTCTCTGGGTAGTGAGACGGGACCCCATGTGCATTATTGTGCACGTAAAAAATCCCTTGGCAGTTGGAAATCGAAAAGAGTAGCCTCATGGCACTGCCCGGGCAAAATTTAGAGGTAAAAATCTGCCCAAAGTATTTCAGGATCCTCACCGGTGCTACAGAGCCTGTGCACTGTGACTTTGCTGAGCTTCTCCGGACACAGACTTGAGTTAGAAGAAGAATGGAGCACTTATGGGTAACTGTGTGCCAGGATGTTGATCCCTTGTTCAAAACCTCAAACCTAATGCAATAATGAGCAAACTATCTGGCATGACTTGATTAACAACTTACTTAATGACTCAAAGAAACCAGTTAAATGATTCAATTAACCATTCATTATTTAGAGTGACGATGAACCGTTTTAGTCTCTTCTTGTATCAAATACACAGAGAGACTCAATGAACTATTTCTTAGAATGACTCAAAGAACCAGTTTAATGATCCGATAACCAAGCTACTTAGAGTGGCTTCATAACCCGTTTACTTAGAGTGACTCCACAAAACATTTACTTAGAGTGACTCCACAAAACATTTACCTAGAGTGACTCCACAAAAAATTTACCTAGAGTGACTCCACAAAACATTTATTTTGAGTGGCCTTGTGAACCATTTACATAGAGTGATTCCACAACATTTACCTAGAGTGGCTCAAGTAATCAGTTTAATGATGAAATAAACCACCCGTCTAAAGTGACTCCACAAAGCATTTACTTAAGTGATTCAAATAATCAGTAAAATGACTTCATAAACCAGTTGTCTAGAGTGACTCTAAGAACCATTTACATAGAGTCACTCCACAAACCATTTTAGAGTGGCTCTAAGAACTATTTACATAGAGTCACTCCACAAACCATTTACTCAGAGTGACTCCAAAAGAACATTTACTTGAGTCTCTCAAATAATACATTTAATGACTTTATAAACAACCTTTCTAGAGTGACTCTAAGAATCATTCACAGTCATTCCACAAATTATTTTTAGAGTGACTCAGAAACCATTTAATCAGAGTGACTCAAACCATTTAGTTAAATTAATTTCACAAACCATTTACTTAGAGTGACTCTACAAACTTTTTACTAAGAATGGCTCAAATAATCAGTTTAATTACTTAATAAACCAGCTATCTAGAGTGACTCAAAGAACCGTTTACACAAAGTAACCGCACAAACCATTTACTCAGCGTGACACAACAAATCCATTCTTCCCTGCCATGAAATGAAGCTAATACTGAAAAGTGACAGGAAACTGCAACCTGCAAGAACTGACAGTCTGATACTCTACTAGTTCACTTGCTACAACCCATGAAGAATAAATTAGGGCCTGTACAGCGTCTACACAAGCTGCAGCTCTATACGGCATTAGGCTCTGGTTGGTGAGTCTGGCTGGTATCTTGAGGTTTCATGACATCTGGTAGTTCTGGAGGACTGGACAACGGCTGGATGTCTAGAGGTTCCCACTCTCCTTCTGTCAGAACAATTGTAAAAGTCGGTTGTGTAGAATGAAAAAAAAAAAAAAAACTAAGTGTGTTGAAAGGAAAGAATATCATGAAATAAATTGTAATTACTAAAATTAGCTGAAGCTGTGAAAATTAAAATGGACAATCCTGCTCTCTGAGAACGATTGCAAAAGTGTGTTGTTTAAAAAGAAAAATTAAAGTGCGTTGAGAGAAAAGAATATCATGGAATAACACACTGCAATTATTAAAATTAGCAGAAGCTGTGGCAATCAATATGGACAGTCCTACTTTAAGTAAGAACGAAAAGGATCCTGCGGTTAACCTTAGAAATCCATAGTGACCTCATGGTTAGTCTTCAAATTCAATAGGTGAGATGTTCACGGTAACAAAAGACCATGTGATTTCGGGTAAAAGAATTCACATATAGCACTGTGTTATATGCTGATGTTCACAATAACATATAACACAGTGAGTCAAAGAACTACTGACTCTACGGTATAAAGTTATGAGTTGGGTAATCTTCACGGCACTCCGGACATGTCTACAGGTGCTCAGATTCCCCCTTCAACATTCACATAGGTGTCCTGTAGTTAATGGTGCTAGTCCTGTGCTGGTTGGCAAGACTTCCTGTACATCTTGGGTGCCTCTCAGGCCTGGCTGTGCCAATCTTTGCTATCAATTCTCGCATTCTTAACAGTCATGTGGACACGCCGCTGCCCAAAATCTTTCAATCATTTTTCTCTAGCGTGATCCATAGACCGGCCATCTGCAACTAATGCATAACCGGCCAATCGATCAGCTCTTTCACTACAAACAACACTAACATACCCCGGAACAAAGATGAAGATAACGGCACACATAGTGGTAATACACCTGGTGAGGTACAGAGAAATATTTGTAAGTCACTTCTCTTCTGCCTCGGGGTTGTAGAGCTTTGCTAGAGAGATCACCGTTCTCTATCAATAGTTTCAGAGATACAAGCCAGGGAGTCAGCTGTACCTTGCACTGCCTGTGTTCTCATTATTTAAATTCACAACAGGAAAATATTGTTTTGGACCTGGGCCCGATTTATACTTCATGAGGCCCTAAGGTAAATAAATCCCTGAGGCCCTACCATTTTAGATTACACCAGCTTTAAATATATGGATAATGGAAATATGTAGTAATTTAATCGATTGTGAAAGAAATAATAATGAATGTGTTTGTAAAATCACAAAAATTATATAATCCCTAAAAGGTTCTTCTAAAAGAAGAACAGCATTAAAAAATATAATAAAAGGCTAGATGCCTGACAGCCTAAAGGACTTGGGTTCAAATCTGTATCAATTCAGATTTTTGTATGACTGATCTTAGCTCCTAGAACATCTCTGCCTACAATGGGTACCAGAAAATGTCCTTGGAAGTAAAGTCGGCCAGCACAATTTTCACCATATCAGCCACAAAGTGCTATGGGTTCCTGGAAATGAGAGAGCTGATAAACTAGTGAAGGAAGGTGCAAATAAAGAACAACCTGATGTAGCAGTTTCTTATCATCAGAAAAAGAGAATAATCAAATCAATCAGAAAGTCACCAAAACTGGAACAAGCGACTACCATATTATGGACAGACCAGAGCAAGTTATTATTCTATGAGAACAGGACACAATTGACTCTTCAGCCATGCGTACAAAAAATTTAAGATTGGCAAATCAGCCATGTGTACATGGGGACTGGCACCTGAGACAATAGATCACATCCTCCAAGACTGTCCCAAACACGGCATATCAAGGCAAAACTGTTGGCCAAGAGAAACACAGATGGAAGTGAAACCTTATGGGACGTTGAGTGATTAAACAGACAAGTGTTCTTACTAGAGACAACACTGCAGATATAGATAATCTATTTCAAGCGAACAAAAAAATAAGAAGGTCTATAAATATCTTTTAACATATTCCTGATGTGCTACAGCGAACATTTTGTGTGTAAACTTTACCTGTCATCATTATTCAGCAGGTCTTTACACAACATAGTCACGTCATGGCACAACATTATTACATCACAGAGGCATGCATGAAAGTCTCTCTTGCTTTAGCCAATGCATCTTCAGTTTCCTGTATCCACCTTCACGGCAAATCTGCCTCTGACTCTTTCTCCAGAAACTGTACCTTCCATCATCGCTTTCTCCTGACCACCATGATGTTCAACATGATGAAAATACCTAATCTTTCAGGGCAGGATGCTGTTTATGAGCCAATTCTTCTCAATGTTCAGATCATGTAGGATGTCAGTGTTTTCTTCTTCATGGTCCATTGGTATTATTGTCCTCAACCCTACCAGACCCGAGGCCCTGAACCTAACTGTCCCCTATACCTGAGCTCCTGAGCATTAATGCGAAAAACCAACATGATATACAAAAATATTAGCTGCATGCAAACACTGACCTTCTGTTTTGAAAATCAGGCCGATTGTGGCTGGAGACTGAGCCCTGGCGACAGCGCTGGTGTACCCATAGTCTGACAATGACTTGTGCTCATCTGCCATTGGCTGAGGAATGGACCAAAAGTTTCAAAGTTGCCAGTATTTATGTCAGGATTTGTCAAACATTCAGCTTTTGCCTCAGGACTGGTCAATGCCCTATAAACCATCTCAGTGTCTCCCATACAGACTACCTGTCCATTCCATACAGGCTACCAGCCCATACAGACTACCTGTCCATTCCATACAGGCTACCAGCCCATACAGACTACCTGTCCATACAGACTACCTGCCCATACAGACTACCTGCCCATACAGACTACCTGCCCATACAGACTACCTGCCCATACAGACTACCTGACCATACAGACTACCTGCCCATACAGACTACCTGCCCATACAGACTACCTGCCCATACAGACTACCTGCCCATACAGACTACCTGCCCATACAGACTACCTGCCCATACACGACAACAGTGGTTTTCAACCCTTTTCACATGGCATTGCTTTGAATATATAGCAAGACTACCTCCCCCCCACCCCCCAATTTAAAAAAAAATGTAGTTAAGAGAACCCCCCCCCAAACCAAAAAAAGCACTACTGACAAGAATGTGTTATTCTATTATATTAATTAGATTTTTTTACAGTAGACGTACAAACTGCTCATTAACACAAAAATGTCCTTGGATTTTTTGTTTTATACTTTCAGAAAATATTTTTTTTAAATGGGGGGGGGGGGGGAGGCATTTTAGGTTAAAAACCGCTGATCTATTCCCATCTCTCCCACACAAACTACTTGTCCATCTATACCATCTTACAGTCTCCCACACAAACTACTTGTCCATCTATACCATCTTACAGTCTCCCACACAAACTACTTGTCCATCTATACCATCTTACAGTCTCCCACACACACTACTTGTCCATCTATACCATCTTACAGTCTCCCACACAAACTACTTGTCCATCTATACCATCTTACAGTCTCCCACACACACTACTTGTCCATCTATACCATCTTACAGTCTCCTACACACACTACTTGTCCATCTATACCATCTTACAGTCTCCCACACAGACTACTTGTCCATCTATACCATCTTACAGTCTCCTACACAAACTACTTGTCCATCTATACCATCTTACAGTCTCCTACACACACTACTTGTCCATCTATACCATCTTACAGTCTCCCACACAAACTACTTGTCCATCTATACCATCTTACAGTCTCCCACACAAACTACTTGTCCATCTGCACCATCTTAGTCTCACACACAGACTTCCATGCCATCTATACCATCTCTAAACTCCCAGTTTTCTTCATCTTCTTTCTGTCCATGCCATGTCGTGTTAGTAATCATGTTTATCCACAACCTTTTTCTTATGTACTTTCAGTCAGTTCTGACACAGATCAACCTCCAAGCCATGATGTCAAACTGTCCAGCATTTTCTCAACCTTCTCATTGTCATGTTGTACTCCAGTTTTCCATGTCTGACGATGTGACCATCCACACAGGACATCTCAACAACAATAACAACAACATACAGAACAATAATTTTTAAAAATAACTCTCATCTAAACAAAACAAAACAAAAAAATCACTCCTATCTGAAAAAACCTTAAAAAAGTTAAATCCCTCTCACCTGAACTAGCAAACAAGTAAATCACTCTCATCTCAACAAACTAGCAAACAAGTAAATCACTCTCATCTCAACAAACTAGCAAACAAGTAAATCACTCTCATCTCAACAAAGAAAAAAAACACAGTAAAATCACTCTTCTCTCTCACACACACACACAAAGTACAATCACTCTCATCTCAACAACACACATGCAAGCATGCACACATGTGTGCATGCATGCGCGCACACAATTAAAATCACTCTACCCTAAACAAATAAAAAAAGAAAGTAAAATCACCCTCACATCAAACAAACACACTTACTGTATTGTCTTTGAACAGTCTCTGGTTCTCTGGGGGCACTTTGAGGATGCCTTCAATGATTTTCTTCACCTCGCCCATCAAGGTACTCTCTTTTGCATCTGTGAAGATGGTCAATTTCTTGCGGCGAATCATCAAAAACACATCCTGGAGTAAAAGACATCTCATGCAAGTCAATTTCAGTTTTATAAAGGACCCTTTTCCATGCCTCTAGGACTAGAAGTATTTTTTATAGACCAATTGGCACTCCCTGGGTGTTGTGGTCAGCATTGTTTCAGCCGCCTTTACTTCCCAGGACTGCACCTGGCACCCATTCAAGGCTGGGTCAACCTGGGAGCCAAAATCATTTTTGAAAAAAAGTCCGCCTTCCCCCTCAGGACCCGAACCCACGACCTTCCGATCCATAGGCGACTCCCCTTTTCAATATTATATGTTTACTTCAATATTACAGTGCAGACACGATAAGAAATAATTATAATCAGAAATCTTATCAAGATAAAGAGTTCACGCATGAAAAACTGCAGTGGTTTAACAAATTGTTCTTCACAACATAAATTTGCCACATTCAAGATCGTTTTTAGCTGTCGGCACTGTATCTATTTTATTTCAATACTGTGTTCACTTCAACTATATATGTTCATTTCAATACTGTGTTCACTTCAACAGTATATGTTGACTTCAACAGTATATATTCATTTCAATACTGTGTTAACTTCAACAGTATATGTTCACTTCAATACTGTGTTCACTTCAACAGTATATGTTGACTTCAACAGTATATATTCACTTCAATACTGTGTTCTCTTCAACAGTATATGTTCACTTCAATACTGCATGTGAACTTTAATCTAATATGTTAATTCCTCTTCTTTTTTAGCACTTTCTGCCTTTCAGGGTCAAATTTTGAAGAGGCATCGGTTGTGAGCTCTGGCATGTGCTACACAGATGTTGGTTTTTACGACCTCAGATATTCCATTTATGTTAATTTTAATTTTAATAAATGATTTATGTTTACTTTAACAGTCGGGGAGTCGCCGTGGCATTGGTGGCTAGATGCCCGCCTGTGGGTCGGAAGGCTGTGGGTTCGTATCCTGACAGAGCCAGACTTTTTTCAAAAATGACCTTGACTCCCAGGTCGACCCAGCCTTGAGTGGGTATCGGGTGAAGTCCTGGGATGTAAAGGCAGCCGGGTGATGCTGACCACATCACCCACCAAGTGCTAATTGGTCTATAAAATGTAGGTCTAACCCTATATTCCCAATACGCCTAAAAGTGTGGAAAAGGGACCCTTAATTCAACAGTGGTAGGCCTCTATTCAGTGGTGCAGGACAGTAGAGTCATGCCATGGTCACTACTCAACTGAACGTAGGCCTCTATTCAGTGGTGCAGGACAGTAGAGTCATGCCATGGTCACTACTCTACTGAACGTAGGCCTCTATTCAGTGGTGCAGGACAGTAGAGTCATGCCACAGTCACTACTCTACTGAACGTAGGCCTCTATTCAGTGGTGCAGGACAGTAGAGTCATGCCACAGTCACTACTCTACCGAAGTGATAACTAAAAATGCAGCAATATCACTGATGGGGATCACAATCTTATGTTGGCAGTCTCAAAATCATTATGACCTTCATGTGTCGTACCGATAAGCACAGCAGGCTATCATGTTTCACCATCTCACACAATCACCAGAATCACGGCTCAGTTCAATGTTCTTGTCTCGCCTCATTCGTCTGGCCAGGGCATCCAGGTATTTAACTCCAAATGATTTAGTATCTGTTTTCACTGCAGTCAGATATTAAGGAAGCATACGGAAATGAAACCTCGGTTAACAGCCATGTAACTCTGGCTACCTTTACTTCGCACACCATTTCCTGGTAATCTCTTTTCAATTATAATTATAGGATAAATAATAATTATTCACTATCTGTTAATTTTTAAAGCCATTTAGGTATAATCTACAGGCTTTATATATATATATATATATATATATATATATATATATATATATATATATATATATATATATATGACCTGGCTCGCTAGCGCAGTTTGTTAATCCTGACTGAGCAGCGACCGGGTGACGAACTCCTTGTGGTCCGGGTTCACGCCCGGGGTAGGCTGAAAAGCCACATTACTCCCAGATTTACGTATTCTATAATCTATCATGAAATCAAGGCCGAACAAAGGAGTATATCCATAGTACGGAGCCAAAGGGTTAACAACTCGTGGTTTCTATATATATATATATTATTATTAGAATGGAATCCCCAGGCAAGGACAATGCTCTCGAGACTTTAGTGACAAGACCAAATAAATTACGTGCCGTGTGACGATAATTCTACTTCGCTCATAACAGCTTTAACACAGGATAGAATTTGATTCCACTAACTACTAGTTTATTTCAATTATTTGCTAATAAATATCCAAAGCAACTTTCTAGGAATTCACAGCCTGATTTTTAAGAAGTCGGAATCTCATCTGGAATCACAAGAAAAGACACAATAGTCATTCATTTGATTCATAGGCGAAGTTTAGCGATAACCGGCTTTCTTTGCTTCACAGACTTCTAATCAAATATTTTGTCAAACAATGCAGATCTCGTTCAATGCGGGTAAGAAACAGACAAGTAAAGCGTATAAATAAGTAGATATTTGAGATAAAACAGGAAGATTTAGCAGAAACCAAGCGACTTCTGAATACGAACCATTGTCGGTTTGTGTGTGGCTTTTCTCTGCAAGAGATCTTTGGCCTCCACCAATCAGAGGCCGTGCTTGCTGTGGAAAAGCTGGGGTGGAAAGGGTTTTGTTTTTGTCCTATTTCTTAACTATTTACAAGTCTGTCTGTCTACCTACCCAACATCTATCTATCTATCTATCTATCTATCTATCTATCTATCTATCTATCTATCTATCTATCTATCTATCTATCTATCTATCTATCTATCTATCTATCTATCTATCTATCTATCTATCTATCCATCCATCCATCCATCCATCCATCCATCCATCCATCCATCCATCCATCCATCCATCCATCTATCTATCTATCTATCTATCTATCTATCTATCTATCTATCTATCTATCTATCTATCTATCTATCTATCTATCTATCTATCTATCTATCTATCTATCTATCTATCTATCTATCTATCTATCTATCTATCAACCTACCTACCTACTTACCTACCTACCCGTCCGTCTGTCTGTCTGCCTGCCCACTGTCAGTCTGTCCTCTGTCTACTTACCCACCTACGTGTCCGCCCGCACGTCCGTCTATCTACCTACCTATCCACCCGTCCGTCTGTCTGTGTGTCTGCCTGTCCGTCTGTCTGCTTGACTGTCTGTCCGTCTGCAAGTATGTATTTCCACTAGTCTGTATTATGCCCGTCTGTGCTGTCGTCCGCCCGTCTGTCTTCCTCCTCCTCCTCTTCTTTTTCTGCTTCTTCTTCTTCTTCTTCTTCTTCTTCTTCTTCTTCTTCTTCTTCTTCTTCTTCTTCTTCTTCTTCTTCTCTTCCACCTTGTACCTCATCGAAGTGTCGGGGGGAGATGTAATGTTCGTTGATGAGCTCTGTCAAGAGCACTATTAAGACTGATGTTCATTTCTGTAAGGCTGTTCTTAATGCCATCACTCCATATTTTCCGAGGTCTTCCACTCGCTCTATACCCGTTGTAACGCTTTTAGTGTGGCTGGCTGTGGCGGATAGTACCAGAGCATTCTTGCTAGGTGTCCGTCTGTCTGCCTACCTTAAATCAGCAACCTAGGTGAACGAATCTAGGGCCTCAGACACCTTGAGCGTCCCCCCCCCCCTTTCCATAATGTTTTAGGGAGTTGAACCCCCACCCCTCCATGAGGAGATGACATCTTTTTGAGCATGGGTTTATAGAGAACATATTATTTCATGTTGAAAGCTCCATAGCCGCAACGTTCACGTTTTGCTTGTATTTGTTTTGTTGTGAAGCTTACTGGTATAATTTTCGTTTGGTTTTATAACTATTCTTTGAGGTTTTAAAAAGAGTTTGTGAATTTTAACGTGGTCAGAATATGTCGACTGTCGATTTTTTTCTCTTTCATAACAGCACTCTTTTTGCAATCTCCCAAGATCCGCCATATTTGATTGCTCAAATCGCATATGTTTGGCCTCAGGGCGCAAATATAACAGCCTACATGTAAACCGCAACGTACCAACAGCTATTTTATTTTTTAATTATTTTCAACAGGGTTCATACATATTTGCTGTATTTGGTAGTTGCGCACAATATCTCCTCATTTCCTTGCTGCTGAAAGTAAAATTACTCCTAACGATTTAAAAACAAAACGAAACCACAATCATCATTTTCCTGTTTTTAATAATATCATAGTGTATTTCATTACACATTTGGGGTGAAGATTTTTTCAGAAAGGGCTAAACTAAAACCTTCCACGGGACAAACTAATGTAATATCTGTCGGTTTAAAAAAGGAAGTGAATTATCCCCCCCCCCCCCCCCCCCCCCCCCCCATTTTTCCTGGACTTCTGCCAGAAAGATTAATAATCAGCAAAGAGACAGTACTATACTATGGCTAAGCTACATTGAAATCATTGAAGCTACATTCTGTATTTAACTTATGCAGAACCAACCCCAACAGCCCCTCGTTGTTGTGTGGTTTTTTTCTAGGCAAATTTACGTCCAGTAGTTTGCCATTGCTTTCTGGACGGTCGGCTTTCTTGATACCACTGACGAAACCAACGCAAGGCGTATGGCCCGCAGTTGGGATCGAACCCGACATCCCGGCATCACGAAGCGTTTGCTTCGTTGGCCCATTTTTCTGCAATTTTTTTTTTCTCTGAAATTTTGCTCAGCACTCTGTGAGAACTAAAGGCCCCTGAGTGCTTAACTAATCCAGAAACTTATCATAACTTTAAAATTTGTTAGTAAATTGAACAAACTTTGAAGTTTTGTTCTCAAATTTGGATATTTACTACTCTTGTGGATGCAAAACCATGGTAAGTGAGAGGATCACCGTAGAGAGGTCCCAGAAACCGCGTTGAGCCATTTGACCATATTTATGGTCGGGCTACATTGAGGCCCCCGGCAAAGGCCAGGGTGGGGCTTCAAATAACGAAAAATTTCATCCTAAAAAGAACGGTGAATACAACATTGCACGCCCATTTTTTGTTTTGATCAGTGCACATATTGCGTGGCACAGAAAGATATATCAGGATCGAAATATGCTTTTCTCTCTTCTTTTTTTTTCCAGCAGATTTCTTTTCATTCGCACTTTTTTCACATCGTATACAATGATACCTCGGATAACGAAAATAATTTGTTCCAGGTTTACAATTGTTAGTCACGATCTTCGTTAACCGAAACGGGATTTGTGTGAAAATTCAGCTAACACGGTTGGCTTCGTAAACTCTACATCCACTACTGACGGCTGACTGACTTTCTACCCCACCAGGACATCACACAAGCGATAAACACCCGATGACACAAATGCCAACATATGGGTGAGGATCGCCGTGGAGAGGTCCCAGAAACCGCATTCAGACAATTTGCGATATTTATGACCTGCCTATATTGCGGCCCCTGGCAAAAGCCAGGGTGGGGCTTTAAATAACAAAAAATCTCGTCCTAAAAAGGACGAAACTGGATCCATTATAACATCCACTAAAATATTTGTTAGCCGAATATAAACTAGATGTTAATATCATGTTGGGTCAAGTAGAAAGCAACTGATGTCACTGGTGGCACAGGATTAAAAGAAAAGAGTGAAATATCAACAACAAAAACAAGTAGTCGAAAAAAGGAGCAAAATATCTTCGTTAGCCGAAACATTCGTTAGCTGGGAAACTGATAACCCACTGTAGCACATTCTATTTGGCAACTGTTGTAAAATTACTCGACGTTGTCGAATTGACAGAGAAGTTAGTTGTCTCCCCTGTGATGGCCGCAGGAACCGCCCAAGCGGGAAAGTTCCCTAGATCGTAGATGGCAAACCCCCAAGTGTTCATAGCCAGCACAATCACTACGACTCCGATGACGTTCAGAACAGCGCCAGATTTGATCTGAGGGGGAAAAAACACACACCCAAAATCAACCCATAAACAACTTCTGCTTCTTCTTCTTCTTCTTCTTCTTCTTCTTCTTCTTCTTCTTCTTCTTCTTCTTCTTCTTCTTCTTCTTCTTCTTCTTCTTCTTCTTCTTCTTCTTCTTCTTCTTCTTCTTCTTCTTCTTCTTCTTCTTCTTCTTCTTCTTCTTCTTCTTCTTCTTCTTCTTCTTCTTCTTCTTCTTCTTCTTCTTCTTCTCCTTCTTCTTCTTCTTCTTTTTCTTCTACTTCTTCTTCTTCTTCTTCCGTGTTCGACCATAAAAGGTTCAGTTTGCACGCTGTGGTGTGGTTATTTCAGATTTTTAAGAGCATGCATCTTTCCCATTGCAACATACGCCTGTGAGACCTGGACACTTACTAAACAAGCGGAACAGCGCATAAATGCATTTGAATATAAATGTTACAGACAGGTTCTAAGAATATCTTGGGTAAAGAAAAGAACAAATGCATCCATACTTCAAGAGCTGAATATTGAAGAGGGTTGGCTAGTAAAGACAATAAAACAAAGAAAATTGAAATATTTTGGTCACTTGAAACGTCATGGAAGTCTAGAGAGAACAATAATGGAGGGGTATATGCCTGGGAAGAGAGGAAGAGGAAGGCCAAGGAGAAGATGTGTGCAGGATGTGGCAGATGATCTCCAGATGGGTGTATCAGACGCAGGACATCTTGCTCATGATAGGAAGGTTTTCCGGAGGGTTGTTATGGCAGCGAGGTTCCGCGAGGGACATGCTACTGAATGAATGAATGAATGGTGTGGTTATTAGTAGTAGACTTTTAACCCACCAGGACATCACACAAACGATAAACACCCGATGACACAAAGTGCCACCACGTGGATGAGGATCACCGTGGAGAGGTCCCAGAAACCGCGTCAGCCATTAGACCATTTTTATTGTCGGGCTATATTGCGGCCGCTGGCAAGAGCCAGGGTGGAGCTTTAAATAACAAAAAATTTTATGTGATAAGGAAATGACATGATGATAGCGGTGTGGTTTACAGCTATGCAGCGATATCTGTGACTTTGGGCGTAACATATCCGTTTTCACAAAACTCTAATCAATAGCTTTTAACGACATGTTTTATAGGAGACAGCCCCCCCCCCCCCTTTTTCCTCCCCGGTGCAATGGCGACCCGAAGCTCCTACCTGGAAAAAGAAACATTAATGCAGGTATTTCGTAAAATTTGTTACCATATCCTTGTACTGATTGCCATTTCCATTCATTACTTCCCATATCCATGAATTACTTCCCACATATATATATATATATATATATATATATATATATATATATATATATATATATATATATATATATATATATATATATATATATATATATATATATATATATATGGACTACTTAACAAATCAATGGACTAATTACCACATGTATGACTACAAACCACATCCATGGATTACTTACCATATCCATGGATTTCAGATCTCCATAAGAAAAGACAAGAGCGTTGGGGGGCGTGGCTACAGGCAGCATGAAGGCCAAGGACGAGGCTAGAGTAGCAGGGAGCATCAGGTACATCGGGTTCATGGCCAAGGTCACTGCCTGAAATGAAAGCGGAAGCAAATGTCAGTGACTGATCCGGTTTCGTTTTCTTGAGAGGAAATTTACAATGTAAACGAAACGCGTATTCAGAAATATTCTTCTCTCTCTCTCTCTCTCTCTCTCTCTCTCTCTCTCTCTCTCTCTCTCTCTCTTCTCTCTCTCTCTTCTCTCTCTCTCTCTCTCTCTCTCTCTCTCTCTCTCTCTCTCTCTCTCTCTCTCTCTCTCTCTCTCATGCATTCTTTATTTATCTCTGCGGTTATTTCCTGCATGTTATCGCGTTCTATGTAATCATGCTAAATAGTTCTAGATCATTCGACGTTCAGGGCAAGAGGCCGAACGATATCGGGTATGATATTTCCCGCACCACAGAAATATATCCTATCAAGTACTGTCCCCTTTAAACACAAATGTTTCATGAACAAAGAAACAGCAATCTCTCTTAGGCAAAAAGGGTTTCGTGTTAACCATTTTCCACACATTCAGGCGTATTGGGTGGGCATATAGGACTAGACCTATATTTTATAGACCAATCAGCATTGGATGGATGGTATGGTCAGCATCACGCCTGTCGCTCTTACTTCCAATGATCATACCTGGTACCCACTCAAGGCTGGATCGATCTGAAAGCCAAGGTCAATTTTGACAAAACTCAGTCTTTACCAGGTCCCGAACCCACGACCTTTCAATCCACAGGTGAGCCTCTGACCGCAACACTACGGCGACTCTCAACTGTTGTGTAGTTTCGCGACAAAAAATCTCTGATATGTTTCTGTTTACTGGCTACATACTTGTGATTCCAAGTTCTATTTTCTGTAGCCACTCTAGTTTTGAATTATGTGTTATGATTTAGGTTATCTTCACAGCACTCCGGACATGCCCATAGGTGCTCAGAATCCCCCTTCAACATATACATCAGCGTCCCGCAGTCTTATACTGGTTGACAAGACTTCTCGTACATCTGGTGTGATTATCCACGCCCTTCTCTATTTATATATAAATAGCTCAAAACGGGCGTGGCTTATTATGCCTGGCTGTGCGGATTTGTATTCCCAATTCTTGCGCTCTTAGCAAAGATGTGGATGTGTTGCTCCAAAATCCTCCGAACGTCCTACCTCTCTAATTGCTTTAACAATGTCGGCATTATCCATGGATCTGTAACAAAGGTAGAATCGGCTAATTTGTTGGCTCTTTCATAGCCAACATCACCCGCATGCCCTGATGCCCTGATAAAGGTCCTCTAGCTTATCAAGAAGTAATCAAACTGTTATAAAAATTAAACATTGATGGGAAAGATCTAAGAATAATAAAGAATATGTATTGGCAGCAAACAGCAGCTATAAGAATTAATAACTGTTTAGGTACATTTCAAAGCATAAAGAGGGGCGTACGACAAGGATGTGTACTTTCACCTGATTTGTTTTCAATATACAGTGAATATATTATGAGATCTTTCACTGATATGCCCGGAATCGTGGTTGGTGGGCACAATATAAACAATTTACGTTATGCTGATGACACAGTCTTGATAGCAACAAGTCAGAAAGAATTACAGGAAATGATAAACATTGTGGTGTTAGAAAGTGGAAGAATGGGCCTCAGTTTGAATAATGGGAAGACAGAAGTAATAGTGGTATCAAAGAAACAAATTATTCCTAAATGTGTAATAAAAGTCAATGGTGTTATTTTAAGACAAGTACAGAAATTTAAGTATCTGGGCACACGGATAACATCAGATGGAAGATGCATAACTGAAATAAGAAACAGAATTGGACAGGCAAAAACTGCATTTTATAAAATGAAAAACATCTTGTGCAATATATCCTTGTCATTGAGAGTTAGAAAAAGAATTTTTGCTTGCTACATACATCCAGTTTTAACATATGGATGTGAATCCTGGACAATCGGTAGGCAGGCCAAACAATTTTTAGAGGCCTCAGAGATGTGGTTTTACAGAAGAATGCTTAGAATACCTTGGACAGCCAAAAAGAGCAACCAAGAGGTTTTAAAAGAGGCGGGAGACCGAAGACAACTTATCACTGACATCAGAAGGAGACAGTCATCATTTTTCGGCCATGTTATGAGAAGAGGGAAAATAGAACATGTTGTGGAAAGATCTGTGGAAGGAGGGATAGAGGAAGACAACGAGTGAAGATGCTTGACAGTCTTGTTGCATGGCATGGAGGTGTGTCGGCACACGAACTGATACATGCTGCAGGAGATCGCCGATTATGGAGAGGCATGATCGCCCACGCCAGTCGGCAAGGCACCTGATGATGATGATGATGATGAGTTTATCAAGGTCTATATGTCAGTCGCGTACCGAATCAAATTTTATTTAATCATTCTTCTTCCCATAAAATAAGATCTATTCTATACATTTATAAAACCAAAAGAGGAATGTGAATGAAGGAATAAATAATTGCAGAAAGAATGAGAGCTGGGCGCATGAGAAGAAAAACACTAAATACAAACGAAGGCAACAATGGTCGTGTAATCCCATGCTATAAATGTGGAAAACGTTTTCTGAACACGGGCGGGTCTTGCTAGTCACACTCGCCATCGCCGTGGGCTGTAAGTCCCATACCTTTTCATTGCACAATAACACTGTCGTCTGGGAAGACGGAAAGGTGACAATATATTAATATTTCTGTTACACCAGTTGTACTTTCTAACTGCTTATTGACTATCTCCCAGTCCTTAAAAAAGAAAATAGGGGCTTTTCAGCTGATATGCTATAAAAAAGATTGTCACAATACCATGGACAAAGAAGAAAAGACATACTAACATCCTAAAAGATCTGAACAGCAAGGAAGATTGGTTATTAAACAGTATTTTGTCTCAGAAGCTGGCATATTTTGGCCATATCAAGCGCCACTGGGGGTTGCCAAAAAAAATATTTAAAAAAAAAAAGCAGAAGGCATAATACCAAGAAGGAGGGGCATGTGCCGACCAGCACGAAGATGGGCACAGGATATAAGTGACTCCTTGGATCTGAAAGTACATGAGGCGGGTGAGCTGGCGAGAGACCGAGTTTCTTTCAGGCAGACCGCGATGAAAGTGACGTTCTGCAAAGGACCTGCCACATGATGATGATAAAGAACTGCTCATTCGTTGTTCAGGTTTCTGCATCATATAACCGGAATGAGTATAAATCATATTCTTTTATCCATAAAAACCGCATCAGCAGACTCAACAGAAAGCAACATACAATTTTCCGTCTACGAACAGGACACTGCAGGCTTAACTATATATATATAAAATATATTTAAAAAAAAAGATTTTACAGTCCCCACAGTGTGCCTGTCAAACAGGATCACAAACAACTGAGCACATTCTGGTCTTAATAGCAGTGTGTACAAAACAAGCTATGAGGAACCATGAAGGACCTGCTACTGACATGCGAGTTCATAGAAGCAACCCACCTGACGATCTGGTCTGAGCATAAGAAACCGAACGCAAAGAAGAAAACATATTCTTTATTTTTTTTTTTTTATTTTGCCGTCGAAATAATAAAGGTTGTCTATCAAGAATATTAAATGGTGACAGCTCAATCTATTCCACTGTGTGACTCTAGTACGAGTGTCATAAATTTACGACAATCGTCTTTGAAAAAACAAACCTGCATACGAACCCCAGTACTCGAAGATCTTAAAACTGGTAACCTCACTGGCTACTTACAATGTCTTTGAGGATCGGCAGCAGCAGCAAGACAACCACTGTGTTGGAAGTGACTTCAGTCACCAAAGAAGTCACAACCGTCACAACCAGACCGGCTGTCCACATGGGCAGATGTTGTATAAAGGTCAGGTTACTGGCGATGATTTTTGACAGCCCGGAGATCTGGCGGGACAACTTTTTGTTTAAATGCTATCTCTTGTAGCTTGAGTCACACATAGACGGGTATACCATGGTAGATTCATTCACACTTAGACATACTTACTTTGGAAGTCTTAGACACAGACAGGCATTCCTTGATAGCTTTAGTTATACACAGGCATATCTTGTTAGTTTCAGTTCACAGACAGGCATACCGTGGTAGCTTCAGTCAAACATAGACAGGCGTACCTTGGTAGTTTCAGTCATACACAGATAGGCGTGCCTTGATAGCTTCAGTCCACAGACAGACATACCTTGGTAGCTTCAGTCAAACATAGATAGGCATACCTTGGTAGTTTCAGTCGCATAAATACAAGTACACATAGACATCGTAACTTGGTAGCTTCAGTCACACATAGACAGCATACCTCGGTAACTTCAACACACATATACAGGCACACATAGACAGCATACACTAGTTGCTTTAACACACATGTACAGGCACACATTGACAGCATACCATGGTAGTTTCAACACACATATACAGGAACACATAGATAGCATATCTTGGTAGCTTCAAAACACATTTACAGGCACACATAACATCATATCTTGGTAGCTTCAACACACATTTACAGGCACACATAGACAGCATATCTTGGTAGCTTCAGTCACGCATATAGAGGCACACATAGACAGCATACCTTGGTAGCTTCAGTCACACATTTACAGGTATACCTTGGTAGCTTCAGTCACACATTTACAGGTATACTTTGGTAGCTTCAGTCCCATATATACATGCACACATAGACAGCATGCCTTGGTTGCTTCAGTCACACATTTACAGGTATACCTTGGTAGCTTCAGTCACACATATACATGCACACACAAACAGCATTCCTTGGTAGCTTCAGTCACATATTTACAGGTATACCTTGGTAGCTTCAGTCACACATATTCATGCACACATAGACAGCATTCCTTGGTAGCTTCAGTCACACATATACAGGAATACTTTGATAGCTTCAGTCACACATATACATGCACACATAGATAGCATGCCTTGGTAGCTTCAGTCACACATTTACAGGCATACATTGAAAGTCAGACAGACACGCATACCTTGGTAGCTTCAGTCACACACTTACAGGCACACATAGATAGCATACCTTGGTAGCTTCAGTCACACGTTTACAGATACACATAGTTAGCATACCTTGGTAGCTTCAGTCACACATATACAGGCACACATAGACAGCATACCGTGGTAGCTTCAGTCACACATATACAGGCACACATAGACAGCATACCGTGGTAGCTTCAGTCACACATATACAGGCATACACTGGAAGTCAGACAGACACGCATACCTTGGCAGCTTCAGTCAGAGCAATCCCTCCTCCAGTTAGAAACAGAACTCCCCAGGGTAACTTCCGGCAGGTCTGTTTCCAGTTGAGAATGGATGGGGTAGATGAAGACGGGCTGTCGTCTGCAACAGAAAGACGATAGTTGTCTCAGCTACAGTGTGTATCGCAGATGAAAGCTACATGCGTGAGAAATTAAATTTCTAGAAACATGCTCATTTTAAAAGAACACTTGGTACTTTCATTTTAGCTCACCCCAAATGCGGAGAATCCCGGAATCCCTTGTGTTACGGTTTGAAATGAACACAGAATAGCCGCAACCCTAACACCCCTATAAAAGTGTACTTTCACGAGTATTACTGGGTTACCCGTGATTGATGTGAGCTAATATGAAAGTACTTAACACTTTTGAATTGTGAATATAAATAATGAGAAAATAATTAACAAGAATATAATGAGAATAAACATATGGGGAATAAATAGCGAGAATATAATTCGTTTTCTTTAAAAACAACGCAACCATTTTGCGAATATAAATAACGAAGTAAACAATAAATGGCAGAATTTACTGCCTGATATTAAATTTCGCTCTCAACGCGTGATTTAGCAAATATAGCACCAACAATTGAACTACAAATAAGTTACGAAAAGACAAACTACAGACGACACCAAAAATAGATCAAGCAGATGTAACATTAGAAACAAAGGGATTAAAGCAACGAATCAATTTACTTACTTAGAAAGTATCTTTGATAGCCAAGGAAATACAAAGAAAGCAATTATTACACACATTGGCAAGGCATCGAAGACTTTTAATAGCTTGAACAAAATATGGAACTATAAATTGTATAGTTTTAAAACCAAGATACGTAATTTCAATACTATTTCAGCTTTAATATATGTCATGATAGGGCAGACGTGGTAAGTGCCGTGTGGGAGAGCGTGTACAATTCGGAGGAGCAGATGGATCACCACAGTTTGGTGAGATTGATGCAGTTGGGGGTGACGAGAGGTTCTGGCAGAAGCTCGAGGCTCAGTGGAAGGGCAAGACGGACGTTTAATCAGCTACTGGCACCATTAGTATCGGAACTCTTCGATGGCTGCTGAAGATGGAGACGGAGCGCTTATGGGAATGCCCCGAGTGCTGTGATGTCAGTTCTTGAATCAAATCAAAATCAGTTTAATATATGTCAGTTAATGGTGGAGAACCACGAAAGACATGGAGCGAAATTTTGAATGTATTCCAAAACAAATATGTGAGAAAATTATGAACATAGCATAAGATGGATTCTTAAAAATAAAGTGAAGAAAAAAGTAAAATGTCTGACAGCCGCTTGTGTTAACAGATAAATGACAAAGAAAGATGGCGCTATACCAGACAAATCCTGAAAAGAAACCAGCAGAAAATTACCGAACGGGCGCTAAAATGAGAAATAAAGGGATCAAAGAGGCGAGGACGTCCAAAAGAAACCCTAAGACAAACGTTGATGAGAGAGACCAAAGCTGCTGGACTGGATTCTGTCAAATATATTGAAATAATTACACACGACAGAATAAACTACAAGGAATAAACTGTGTGCCTTATGTGACATATAATGGCACAACAGGATAATAAATAAATATTTTTCTTCTTGGGAGCGATCGATTCTGTTTTAAACTGGCACTAGGTAATGCCATTGGAGGTAAAAATACAGCCAAATTACCAATCGTTTGCCGACCAGTCTGCAAAAAATATGAGTCTGGCACTACAAGCTTTCTGCAAAGAATATGTTACATGATCGTTATGACGACAATAATAAATATACCTGCGCAGATTTTTATACATGAACAATAACGATATCTTACCTCCCTTCCGTCTAAAGAAAAGCACATTAGGTCTGTGTTCAGGAAAAATAAAAAGACTAGTAGCAACAGCTATAGCGGCCGAACCATCAGATACAAATCTGAAATTATAATAATTTTTATTATGGTGACAATCGTCAAAGTTGATACATTGATACCCTTACAACAGCAGATAGGAAATGTATTAAAGAAATGAAATATAGAATAGCACAATCAATGGCAGGATTCATAAATTAAACAATATTCTATTCAACCTTTTTTGTCAATTGAGGTAAGAAAGAAAATTTTCAAGAGATATATAAATTTTATCCTGATATACGGAAGTGAATCATGGAAACATTTTATGGAAGACACGGCAATGTAGCTTTAAAAACAAAAGATAAAAATACTATGAGCATAGAACAAAAGTATTAAAGATGTCTAGAAAAACACTGGCTCAGATTGAAAATTGATTGTCCACATCAGAAGGAGACAATCTACATTTTTTAGTTCTGTAATGGAAAGAAGAAAACTGAAGTACATTATGACAGTTAGAAAGCTGAAGGGGGAAAGAGGCAAGGGAACTCACACACAATATTATCAATTCAGTTAGTAAGTCAAGCTTTCAGTCAGGCTGTCAGTCAGTCAGAACCTGCAACAGTTTATCAGCTAGCGTGTTGTTCCGTACATTCTTTTTGTCTGGCTACATAACCTGCAACTGTTTATCAGCTGGAGTGTTTTTCCGTACATTCTTTCTGTCTGGCTACAGAACCTGCAACAATTTATCAGCTGGCGGATTGTTCCGTACATTCTTTCTGTCTGACTACATAACTTGCAACTGTTTATCAGCTGGCGGGTTGTTCCGTACATTCTTTTTGTTTGGCTACATAACCTGCAACAGTTTATCAGCTGGCGTGTTGTTCCGTACATTCTTTCTGTCTGGCTACATAACCTGCAACAGTTTATAAGCTGGCGTGTTGTTCCATACATTCTTTCTGTCTGGCTACATAACCTGCAACAATTTATCAGCTGACGGGTTGTTCCGTACATTCTTTCTGTCTGGCCCCAGGGGCACGTTTTCATCTTCCTCGGTTTCACTGACTGTAAACTCTGGCGGAAGGTTCTGGTTTTTTATGAACTTCTAGACTTTGGTCTGGTTACAGCACTTCAATTGTTCGTGCAGATCTATTTTATTCGTATGCAGACTGTTGGTTACTCGCCTCTCAGGCAGATACACTCCGACTTCTACCAAAAACATATAAATAGTCATTTGTTACGACATGCTTGTTTTTGGGCAACTATTTAACTCGAAATTTGCCTTTAAAAAACCACAATAGCCACACCATTCTGGGGTTGGTTCTGCAACGTCCTGTAAAGGATACGCAACTAACCTTTTGTGTGTGTGTGTGATGGTAAGGGGTGTGGGGTTGAGGGGGGGGGGGTCATTCTTATGTCCCCGAAACTACACAGGAAAGAGAAATAAACCAGGGTTATGTTTGTTGGGTTGGCATCTACTATAGGGGTCTAGAGTCATTAGGATTAACGATACTAAGTTGACGTTTGCGAAGAGTGACTAACCAGTAAAGTAAATGCTCCTTTTCAACGCCTGTAGGCTTTTTGGGTATAAAGTGCTATACCCGCGTTTTATATTCTATTTTTGTTTATTATACTACATGAAAATGAAGGCTGTTGAAAAAAAAAAAATAACGCCACACGGCGTGGACTAAAGAATAAAAAGAAAATGTATGCAATAGTCATACTAACCTATTCTGAAACAACGAAGACCATCCGGGGACAGTTCCTAGATCTCTTGTCAACCACAGGACAACCAGTATGAGGAAGTGCACTAGAACAATCACTTCGTTAAACCTACAAAGAAGTAATTTAAGTAATCAGGTAACAGCAGTTCCAACTTTACAACAAACGGGTCACCATATAATTGCTCCGTTTCTGTGCCAACGAAAACCACACAGCATATTCATCATTGTCTCTTGTGACAAAAAATCGGCACAGGATGCAGTCTTAGCAAATCCAACAGCATACAAGCACATTTAATGCACAAGGCAGCCATCAGAAATGCCAACTCAAACAGCCTGGCCCTAGAAATACAGTTCATTGTCGATAGAAGCAGCAGTTATAGCAAATCAGTAGTTGCAGAGGCAATTTATCGCATAAGGCACCACAAATTCTCTTTTAACAGGCTACTCGCGATTTTCATTCCAAAGGAAATCCACAGCCCTAAGAGAAGTAAAAAAAGCAAAGGACCATTTTCACTCTAAAAGGTGCATCAACTAACGTTGTTAAAGGCCAGTTAGTATTTGATAATGTGGGCACATAACCCGCTTTTACGTCCCGATAGCCATTTAGGCTGGGTTGGTCTAGGACGAACGATCAATGAAAAAACTCCGATGCTGTTTCGAACTCAAGACATTCAGGCTAGAAGACAAACGATTAGCAACTGCTCATCCAGGTATTTCCCAGCCTGTTATTAAATGCGATAAAAGGTCTTTATTTTCTGTATTAACGACGTACGGAAGCTAGCAAAGTTTGGCCATATCAAACGCCACAGCTGATTGGAAAAATTAATAGCAGAAGACATGGCACAAGAAAAGATGGGCAGGGGCCGACCAACCTGAAGATGGGCACAGGATGTGAGTGACTCCTTGGATATGAAAGTGCACAAGGCGGGAGAGCTGGGAAGAGACAGTGTCTTTCAGGGAGATCAGAGCGACGTTCTGCAAAAGACCTGCTACATGATGATGATGATTTACCACATTTAAGTCAGTTGAGGACCCAGAGAGAGAGAGAGAGAGGCTGGGGAAGGGGGGGGGGGGGGGGGGGGGGTCGTGAGTCTGAGAATTTAAGATCGCATCGTCAGTGCACTCGCCACCACGTGCAATAGATTGTCCCAGTATGATGCGGGTCTTCGAAATGCTCCCTCCAATTGCTTCCCGCTGTCAGGTCAAACATTCAAACTGTATTTTGATTTCGCTGCTATTAAAAAAAAAAGTAAAGGACCCTTTCCACGCCTTTAGGCGTATAGGGCATATAGGGCTAGACCTATATTTTTATAGACCGACGGCACAAGATGGGTGATGTGGTCAGCATCACGCCGGCCGCCTCTACTTCCCGGGATTGCACCCGGTACCCACTCAAGGCTGGGTCGACCTGGGAGCCAATGTCATTTTTGAAGAAAAGTCCGTCTCCGCCAGGGAGCGAACCCACGACCTTCCGATCCGCGGCGCGCGTCTAGCCGCTCTGCCACGGCGACTCCCATTTCGCTGCTATATCGCCCCTTTATTACCCGCCTGGCGCGGCCGCCAAGGTAGGGCCCTGGT